ACATACGGTATATGTGTGTATGTATATGTATACCTTGAGAAATGTCTTAATGAAATTATCAACAAGCATTGCAGAGGTGCATTGTACGAGTTGGAATCAAAATAAAATCCAGTAGAAATGCGGTTGATTGCGAGGTGAAACGAGACCTTCAGAAAGTGGCCGTGAGCCAAGATCGATCTCAAGTGCTGCAATACTGCTGTACAGCTCTATTTTTACGCAATATCATCGGGATTGTCACATCTCTCCCCAATAAAAACCCACTCAAGAGAGAAAATCTCATTCATTCTTGCGGTTGACAACCAGCCACGGGCAGCAATACATACACACACACACACACACACACACACACACATATCCACTTGTTGCCAGAGAGGTCCAGACGACATCACTGAGAATGTGATCAATCAAGATGAGGGGGCTGTTGTTGGAAGCAGAAAAGCCTGCATTTCTTCCTGAGCTGCAGATAAAGGAACATTGATTTGCCCCCCTCAGCACAGCATTGCCTACCCAGACACACTCATCACGCTAAATTTAGACTGCGACGAACTAGAGGAGAGCAAATAAGGAAGGAGGGCTCTTTCACTGAGCACATATAGTGCCAATAGTGCCATGTGCTAGCACTGCGGCGTCCACTCTGTGGGCTCCTCAGGGGATGTGTGAGGGTGGCGATGACTTTCTGGGGCACTCGTCTTGATACATGCACTATATAGTGACCCTGATATCTGCCGCCATCGTGTTCCGTTATGAGCCACAGGGGTACCTTGTGTTGTCGTGTTTAGTTAAGATTCAGAGAAGGGAGAAAACTTTAATGGGGAAAAAAGGAAAGCAAGAGGAGGGATCCCTTTTCCATGCTTACAGCAAGGCAAGACTTTAAAGGTACATTTAGATTATATTGATCATTTTTAAACCTGCAATAAATTCTTTTTTGGTCACTTTGGACATCAGAAAGAGTGCAAACATAAGACATCCGCCACAATCCATTTTTTAAAGGTGAACTTAAACCGTGGCTTATTTGCACATTCAGAAGATATGGAGCAACATTAGCACTGAGTTCATCTGATGATTGTAGGCCCAAGTCACTCATTTTCTGGGTTTTCTCCTCCAGCCCCTGAGGGAAGCATGCGTCCCTGTAACTGCTACATGCTCCACTATGTTTACCAGCTAGTCGCTCACTTTGTCTGGGAAGGTAAAGAACCGTTCCGTTGAAAACTAGCCGCCTGCTGAATAGCAGCTGTGGCCACAAGTGACATCAACAGGACGATAATAAATACAACATGGTGTACCGGTAGACCAAAGAGACTCAGTAATGTGGAACCGATGAAGGAATTGCGGGTTGGCATTAACTCCTTTCGATTCGTAAAGGATGGTCCAATGTAACCTGTAGACCATTTCACAGTTGTAAACATAAACATTCCAAATGTGTCCCAGTTTATTTCCTGTTGCGGTGTTTGTGAATGACATCAGCTGACAGGAAGTAAGCATGGACCTAAGCTGTTGCCTTGATATGCAATTCCTTTGAAACAGTCGATATGATAAAGTAGATAAGAAAGGAAGCATTAAAGTATCCTTGCTGAGCATTTACAGAGTTCAACCAGTTCTTATCACGGCTGACATTTAGACGCTTCGGGCATGAAATGGGATTCAAACGGACAGTTCCACTCAAATCTACGTAGCAGGGTGGTCAGAGCAGCGGCCATTTTTAAATGTATCGTTGCCAATGTGACCGTAAGAAGTGAGGTCTTGCAGTATAACAACTAAAACGAGCAGTGGAGTGGTAACGTTACGAAGCGTAGAGCACCAGAGTAAATGACTGAAATTTAACAACCTGATGCTTCATCCACACACTCGTCGGAGCGTAGGAAAGCACATTGCTATCGCTAGCTGACAGCTCGCTAGTTAGCTAGCTTGCTAACTCCACCATGCTTTAATGCTACACTGGTTACAGAAAATGAGCTTAACGGCGGACGGCTGGTGCTCAGCTGAAACGTTGGTTCTACCGGTCCCTCCACCTCATTTCATTCAGTTAGGGACTAAAACAAAAAGACTATTTGACGGCAGGCCATGTGAGGCTGGAGCAGCAAGAGCCCTTAGTGTGTCAAATTGAGCGAGGGTGCATTCTCGTATCAACATCAAGAGGGACCACCTTATTAAATAGCAAAATATCCTAAGAGCTTTCTGTGGCTTTTCATTAAAAATAACAGCGGGAACACAATCCATTCCTAGCCATAATCCAACTACAGAACTCAGCATGCAAACGCTAAGTCTTCTACTTCCACCTCCCATCAGACACCTCTTCTCTGGAAAAGAGACCACTCGATCTTGGCAGCAGCATCTGTCTGCTAACTGTCCTCGTCTTTTTTTTTTTTCCCTTCGCCAGTTTGTCTTCAGCTGGCCAGCTCAGCAGAATAGGGAATAACTGGAACGTTATAATAAAATAACTCATTCGGTCTCTCTGAATGACTTTAGGAAAATGTAACAGAACATTCATATCGTTTTCACTGATCGATCGTTTTCTTAACTCTTTGTTTGCCCGAGTCTCTTTACCGTCTTCTACAGTGGTAGTCCCTTGTTCCACTTTGGTGCAGAACTGACACATTTTGTCATCTCACAGCTGCAGAGGCCTTTCCTCTGGTGCTTCCTGCAAGAGGACACACAGTAACACGAGGCTCCTATTGAAGTCAAATAAGAGACGATAATCAGAGCCCTGATCTCTGTATCAGTCTCTTGGATGGATCCCGACAGGAGACCGAGATGTATCTGGAGACAGGAACCCGACAAATTAAAAGTATTTTTTTGCAAGCTGTCAAATTGTCCCTCCTCACAGAATGTGTGTGAACAAAGACTGCAACTGTTCCAACAGCAGGATGTTGGATGAAGCCTTTGCTGTAAAAGGTTTTTTCACAGCTTTATCCTTTCACTTGTCATAATTCTAAATGTTCAAACCCAGCATGCTGCATTTTACAAGTGTTAGATCCAGAGGACTATCATTGACTGTGGACCAGTGTCTCCCCCCTTTAACTGATGTTGTAGCAGAGACGTAACACAAGGGGGAAGGGAGACCTTGGTCTCAGACAGCTACTGTACATAGATGGAGAATGAGACAGACAAGAGGCAGCGTGACGGGGAGCATTTTGGATGTAGGCGCTCATGTTCCACATATTGATCGTTCACGTGCACTACAAACGAGGCCAAGGGACAAAACACCTGCCTAACATTTCAGGAGGACACGCATCAAATAGAAATAGCTGCCGTCGGAGTGCGAGTACGTTTCACAATGCTCGCTGTCAGCTCAAGGCAGTGGTGTCATTTTGTTTCTGTTTTTTTTTTGGAGCAGATATAAGCCGGAGAATGAATGAGGGGGGGAGAGATCCGACGGAAGTCAGCACATGATTGTTTTATAAATCTGCTGGCTGGAAGTAAAAAAGAGTCGGGAGATTAAATGAAGTGTGGTGGCTATGAATTATCTACAGAACAGACGAATGGAATGGAGGCGGATGCTGTTCTGCAAGCTGTACACAGAGTGAACCCTGTATGGAGGGTAGAGTTGTACACTAACTCACAACATGTTTTCCACCGGATTCTGATTTAAGCAGCACACATGCTGACCCTGTTCCGACTAGTTTTCTTGGTGTAGTTTGGCTCTAAATGCTGCATTAACCAAGAAAAAACATCACTGGTGCCTGCACGAGATTCAGCCATGAAGTTAGCATTACCTCCTTAGAGCCACATTGGTCAATGAACATCAACAGACTAATGGTAGAGAAGGCGATTTATCTGGCTGTTATAGTATTCAGTTAAAATTTCAAAAGTAGCCTGTGTGTGTGGTTTCACATCAAAGCACAGGCTTACTTCTGGGCATCCAGCCGTCTCTGGGGAGGCGATATGCTGTGCACAGTGAATTCCTTAATGCCGTGGCGTTTCAGCCTCTCACTAACAAGCATGCACTACTGAGGAGGAAGGATTCAGGTATGGCTGGAGGGCAAATACCAGCAATAGAGAGCGGACATTTGGAGGCTAACACATCTTTCACCTTAAAAGGGGGGCACAAAACTGCAAGTAACGCATGTTAGATGAAAACGTACTTGTATGGAGCAGTGCTCAGCTCTTACAAACAGTTAAGGCTTCTCCTGAGCCACAGAAGACATTATCAACTCTGAGAAAATTCAAAAATAATGGATGACAACATTTTTTTAACAGATATGGCATGTGACATGCGGGCGATTAAGAGGGATTATGGGAAATGTTGGATCCAAGTGCTGCACCGATTCTGACCATTCCTTTTCTCCTGTCTCTTATGTTAGCCCCTTCCCAAACTTTATGGAAGTGCATCACTAAATTGCTGCAGTACCCCTTTAAATTGTCAGAATCAAGGGATGCTTTTTTTTCGCTAAAGATTGTAGTTGTTGCTGGGGGGGGCTGACCTCTCACCAGAGGTCACCACCCTCCATTATTCATGACAGCATCGCTGGAGTCAGAGCGATCATGTTCCAACTCAAAGCAGCTCGCAGGCCGTTTTCTGGCTGTGGCATCCAGAGCGCTCCCTCCCACCGCCCAGAGCCGGGCTGCGACGTTAATTAGTGGAAGTACAGTGACGCGGCGCGGAGCTGTCCACGGGCCGCGGTGCTGAAATCCGTGCTGCTGCCGCAACACACGAGAACTCTTTATGGACAAATGAAACGTGTAACATGTCGAGCATCATCGCATGCAGTCTAACGGCTCAATCAGAAAAACATGACACAAACAGAAGTTTCAAGACGTTAAGAGTTAAAGCTTGAGTTCTGCAGGTGAAGTGACCCCCCCCCTTTAATCGTGCTGTAGCAACATGACGACGCTTAACCCTTTATAATGCGGCTTCTGAGCATCATCAGCGCAAAACTAGGCACAAAACCCGCAAAACTCCACAGCAGCCCCCCCTAAAACAAAGACATAATTACATTCCCAGACCAAAAGGCCACGGTGACAGAATCAACATGCTTGGTCGGAGCCCGGCCGTCACTTACACATACGCGTGGTAGATGAACGCCCATCCCCGCGGTCTTTCCAGTGCGTTATAGAGGAAATTCTGCAGTTTCCGATAGCTGGCGTTTTTCTTCGACGGTCTGGGTCTCCCGGCGGAGATGCTGGACCTCGGTCTGCAGAGGATGCTGCTCCGCTTGGTGCTCTCCGCGCCCGCAATGAGCAGCGCCCCATCCCTGCCGGATTCGGGAGCGCCGGGGTCCAGTCCGACGAAGCCGACCCTGTGCTTCTTCTCCTCGGCTTGAGTTGGGTAGACCCCGCCGTTGAGAGACTTCTGCACCATCCTAAAGTCGAGACGACTCTAACGAGGAGTTGTCCGTGTCCTTTCCGCCGCGGGGATGCATCACCGGTGCTGAGAGGTGCGTGTGTGTGTGTGCGTGCTGGTCTGGCGAATGCAGTCAGTGTCGTCCCCCCCCCCCCCCCCAAACACCCACCCCTGGAAAACCAATTGCGATAACCACGCGAAACTGCACGGTGTCTGCTTTTACCGTAGCCCCTTCCGGTCATTTGACAGACACAGCAAGGAGGGGCAATGCCCAGGATTGTTCACTCCACAGTCTGATCACGTTGGTCATTATCAATTCAGAAGCTATCGGCAATAATTTAACGGCCCAGCAATGCAAAGTTAAACTGACACGTGAAACCAGCCTTCTTCTAACGTGACATCTGGCCAGGTGTGTCAGCAAAACACTCACAATTGATTACCTTATTTTGGGAAAATGAAGGAGTCTTGTTTCTTTCAAAAAAAAAAAAAAAAGAAAAAAAAAAAGCTGTGAAGATGATGCATGTTCATGCAATATTCATATGTGGTTCTGACTTCGGTCAGTGTAATGGACACCTAAAACTATGACGATATGTTGTTTTAAAGGTTTGCATTCTGTGGTTGAGCAAAGGCAAAAGACAAATATGTACTTGTCAAAAATCTGATAGTATCTGTCAACATGTGGTGAGACGTAAAACACAGGACACACTGTAAAGCAGGACAATTATGGGAGAAAATCACTTTATGCTGGACATCATGTCCGCTCTGTTGGGTTGGCCACTTTGCTGCTTCACTGAAAAAACATCATCACACTGTGAACATTTTATTTACTAGCTTGTTAAGATTGCATTTACAATGATAATCTTAGAAAGATTCAACAGAGATCCTTTGTACAGTTATTTTCAAGCAACATAAAATTGCAAATAAGGTATATACAAAAAAAAAACAAAAAAACATTAGAATAATGTAAATAAATGTGTAATCAGTGACATATTTGTTTGTCCGGCTACACCAACATGCTGCAGTCATTAGATCATTTTTACTGGTGACGGGTGCTTAATAAAACCAGGTTACGGTGACTAATGCTGCATTTCAGAGTTTGTACAATGCACACTGCTCAGATTAAGAGTGAATTTAATAATAAGGGAGATGATGATGCAAATACCCGCTGAGTCCTATGTGCCAGAAGGGGGATGTAGATTTACAGCGGCCATGCTAGTGCCGACGGATGTGGAGAGACTATTCCAACATGCACATTTGGAGGCAGACCGCTTTTAAATAAATTAAAAAGGACGAAGTAATCTGCCTAATGAGTGCAGCATGTCGAGACAGATTCATGAAATGCTCCTCGAATCTTTTTAACAGTAAGACAAAAAAGAAAAAAAGTTGTCAGTGAGGTTATGCTTCTCCTCCAATGCACAGGCATGGATACAAAATGTTTTATATACTATCTTCATAAAAATAATCCAATTTAAGTTATAGCATCACTCGGACATATCCTATCTCTTTTCATCCTCTGACATCGTTACAGTTTGTATGTACAAGAAATTAAAATCTTCAGTAAAATGATGTTACTGTGTTTCAGTCCTGAAACGATCCCTTTGTTTGCGTCATGAAAGAACTGCTTACAGTACGTTTTTGCTAACACTGCAACTTGAGTGGACCAATTCTTGTGCTTGTTTTAATACCCACAGTGAATACAACAGTTCCAAGACAACGTAAAAAACAATTAAAAAAACTCTAAATAATGTCTTAGTTAACAGAAGGCAATCCTTCAACTAGTACATTGGAATTAATATATTAATTTAAAAACCTCTCGACTTGGCTGCTTAAAGCAGCCCGGTATGGTTTGTTTTAGCTTCCTTTGTCCTGATTCTGATTAGCTAGCTTCTGTTCATCTTCCCTCCCTTGCTCTCCTTGAAGATCCAAGTAACACTTCCTGATGTCCATACATATAAATAAAATACACGAGCAGTTAGGTCTAAAAAAAGAAAAGAATGGCATGCCATTGGTCCTTTAAATACTGTTCAATATGTAGGCTGGAATGCTTTTAGATTATTTAATACCTGATATATAGAAGTAAGGGGTAAAAATGCTCCTTCTGGACACAATAAATAACTATCCTTCATATAGTGCAGTAATACAGTACTCACACTAAACCTACAGTAATTGCACAGTAACCACATGCAAAGGGCTGAAGAAAGACCCCCCCCCCCCCCCTTTATCATCCCTCTTTTCATCTGTCCCTCGATCCCTACTTCCATCCCTCTGTCTAGTCTTCCTGCATCTACTCAGCCAGCTACAGACATGAATACAAGGGGATTCAAGTATTCGACTTCACTCGGGGTCCAAACACTGAGCCCTGGGGAACACCAGCCCAAAATAGAGAGGCAGCTCTCTGGAGTTGCAGTCCAAGGCAAAACGGATAGCATCTGCATTTAGTATGACAGCCAGCTATAGGTAGTTTGGTTAATCCAGTTAATCCAGCTCGGTCAGGAGCGTAATCACTGTTGGTGTCTTCTGTATGAGGCCTCAAGCTGGCCTCTCCCTTTCACTGGTGTTGTGAACATTTTGCACCAGTTGTCAGCCTTGTGTAGGTAGACAGACAGACAGACAGACAGACAGACAGACAGACAGACAGACAGACAGACAGACAGACAGACAGACAAAGCAATGCTACTTCTATCTGGGTGGATTCCCAGTATAACAGTACATGACTAGTCTGGAGCTTCAGGCTGCATCAGTCTCAATCTAGGTGCTCCCTAGTAGCTGTCATTAGTCATCGGTACAGTCTTGTTTAACCTGTACTTTGCACTGAGGACTCTAGTAGTATCCATGGTGGAATGATCCCTGTGTAACTGGGGCAGTTGTGAGGGGGGGGGGTCTTTCCATTGGGAGCGTCTCTTGGAAAAGAAAGCGGTGAGACCTCTGTTATTGCCACCTCTCATCATATCTTCCTATTTCACATTCACCCTCTCTCTCTCTCTCTCTCTCTCTCTCTCTCTCTCTCTCTGATGTCTTCTCTGAAGTGATGGTTTTCTTAGAAATCTCCATCTGAAGGCGGCAAACACAGCTTGAAGAGCCTGTTGTAAAAAAAACAAAACAGGAAATGAGGAGAATCCGCCTCATCTCAAGACCATATCACGTACTGATGGCATTGGAAGAGGTTTCATACAGTACCTTGGGAATGATGGAGGCATCTGGTCCATTACCTTGAGATTTTTAGCAGAGAGCTCAACTCTTGCTCCCTGGTAAAAAAATAAAAATAAGTAAACATTATGCTACATGCTCTACAATGATCAGATTACACTGAATCACTGAGCATTCAAAAACAGACAATGTCTAGAAATACTTGCTGGAACTCTTTTTGACTTTGATGTCATTTCATGCAACTCACAGATTATTATTTGATATGATTTTAACAAAGGCATCCATACGGTATGACTTTGTGCTAGAATAGGTGAGAAAAATGTTTGATCCCACTTGTTCCTCTAACTGTACATGGAATCAGGCTGGGAGATTAAACATGATTAATTAAATTGTAATTCCAAGCAAATTGTACTGTGGCGCATTAAAGTGCAACACTTGGGCTCATAGCATCAGATATCAAACTTCAAAATTGGACAAGATTTTTGTACTATTAAATATACATCAATATCTGAAAAAAACACACTTTCCCTTATTGTAAAATAGATGTTTTATCAGTCGTAGTAAAATAATTTGTAATGAACAAAATGTAGGTGCAAAGAAAGCACACTTTAGTGGGGAGGCCATACGAGGCATCCACGGCCCCTGAGCTTTACCTGTTTGCGCATGATATCCATGGTCGGCATGATGCAGCGCGGCATGAGGCCGTGGTTCCTGGCCAAGATCATCGCCTGCTCCAGGGTCACATTCAGGGTACATCTGCAAAGAACCAAACGGGTTGAGAGGGTCAGCTCTGCGTGCACCTCTGGAACAAAACACACTCATGGGGTTGTCCACACAAGTATGTGCACCTGCTGCGGGACGCCTCGAAGTAGAAACGTATTCAAAACAGCGAGGCCGCGCTGTGTTAATCTTTATCGCAGCTGACAGCCTAGCGGTGCTACACAAGCGGTACAAAAATGTCGGCGTGGCGCCGGGCTGACCTCTGCATGCCTGTGCCGCACATGGTGATGTGGCACGCTCCCAGGCGGTTACACAGCTCGGAGGACACGCACAGCACGCTGACACCCGACGGGTGGCCTTGGGCGCTCGTGCGCACGTTGACGTAGGACTGCATCAGTCGACAGAGATCGTCCAGTGTGTTGAGGGGTCGCAGCAGCTGTGGGGAGGAGACGGGTCAGTGGTTTAATGGACTGCAAACAAGAAGTTACAGTGGCAAAGGTGGCCATCTTACCAAGTCATCTACACTACTATTACGTTTTAAAATCTGTATTTCGGGAAAACCATAAAACCAACTTGTTTATAGTATACTATTAATACTGACGAATAACACAGGAATATCAATTAAAGGGACAGTTCACAGCAAAATCCAGAAATAGACATATTACCAGTAGTGCTATTTGTCAGTCTAGATTGTTTTGGTGTGAGTTGCCTAGTTTTGGAGGCATCGTCTGTAGAGCCGTCTGCCTTCTCTCCAGTATAACAGGACAACATGACACTCTCATTGAGGCCCAAAAAACGCAACGTCACTTTCCAGAAATCATGACACGGTACTAAAATAATCCAAAGACCTTGTTGAGAGCAGTTTCATGGAGGGACTATTTTCTTTCAACCATAGTTGCAACATGAAACTTCTGAAAACAAGGCCGGCGGGTTATGTTAATATGTATTTTGGATTGTGGGGTTAACTGTCCCTTTAAAATGAGAGCGAATTAAGATTCTTTTTTAAAAATAGTGAAAAAGTTGATCTGTATTATTTCAATATTTAATACTAGACTAAGTCCAGTAAGTGACTTGTTAAGATGGTGCACCAGCAGAAACCATTCAGAATAACACAGCGGTTCAACTCTTTGTCGCCTTTCTTGTAAAAGACGATGACAACCTGAGAATGAGGCTCTAGATATTGATATAGATATGTTCTATTCGGTTTTATTCACTGGAATCTAGTTCAGCTGCAGTCAGTTTGGGACACTAGGGTTTGCTTTCTAATCTAATTATCTCTGAGGTTCAAATGGATGCAGTTGTATAATGTTGAAGTGTTGAGGTTAGTTGGAGTTAATAGGGGGAGTCTTGGCAAACTAGTTGGAGGGGAGGGTGCGGGTTCCAGTGGAGGGAACAGGACTCCGGTACATCTTACTTTTGAAATGCTTGGTTGCAGGTCTCTAACTTCAAGGCCCAGTATCTGTGCTTGCATTTATATCCAGTCACAACGTTATATAAAAAATGGACTCATGTTACAAGAACAGGATATAAGTTACGAGACGAAAAAAAACACACGTAGACTGTAAAGTAGACAGCAAAGGCAATAAATGGGAAATGTAAGAGAATAAGTGTATATTTACCTGGTCTATCTTCATCGCTGTGGTGTTCGAGTCCGTCGGGAGATTGGACTTCTCCAAATAGAAAGCCCTGTATGGGAAAAAAAACATATCTAGTTCCATCTTGTTCTCCTCTGACTCAGTCTGTGTGAAAGCTGAGTCATCTAGCATCTCAAGTACTACTTTAGGGAATATTACAGTACATATTTCATCATTTATTGATGTTGCATGAGTAATTTCCTGGGGATGAACGCACACACAAGACATCACAGCCCTATTAATTATTATTATTATTATTATTATTATTATTATTATTATTATTATTATTTTACAGGGCAATAAACAATAACAATTCAAAGAAAAAAAACTAAATAAATATATCGGTCATACATGCAGCTCTGTAAATCTGAACTTTATGAACTGAAATTGCTGAATATAATATTTTACACTTCTTTAAATGCACATTTTTATTGTTAACATTTTGTAAACATTGTATCTTGCACTAATGATATCAAAATAAAATATGATGCAGACAGAGATTATCAAAAATGTATAACATTAACTGTTAACCACGTTCATATCAAAGGCGGTCTAATGGTGCATAGATATCACACAAGCCGGTGTCACTACATGAGCCACTGGTCCAGCTAAAGGATTCAGTTCTCACCTTGAACAATTCAGGACCTTGAAACTAGTTCAAAGAGCAGTGGAAGCAGCGTTTCTGCTTGCTTATGCAACATCACAGGGTCGACTCTCACTTTAAGGTGAAATATATCCCCGAGCGCTAGTGAGGGCTGCGATGCAGTGTAGCATGGCGTACCTGAGCCTGCGGTAGTAGGCCTTGACCTTCTCCAGTGAGACAGCGTTGGTGCGCTGCTGAAACTCCTCCATGGCTGCGTAGTCCTGCTGGGACACTCCCTCTGGACGCTCCAGTGCTGGATGGAACGGGCAGGAGGCATTTAGGTCAACACACATGGGTTACGCGTTTACATGATCGCATGTTTTCATGCCCTCCAACCCTAACCCTCGCATCTTAAAACCTCATCACCTCATCATCAAACTTAAACTAACACGAACATCCACCCAGCCTCAGGCGTAATCCTAACCTCCACAGTGAAATAACATTTTGATAAAGTGTTGAATGCCTTAAATCTCCTTATGTAAGAGGATTTTCAATCCATGAGGACATATGGTGTTTCAAGATATGGCCACGCACTCACACAAACTTCAGCACCTGCAATACCGTAACACTTCCCCCCCCCCCCGCCCCCAACCTGCAGCAAAGACATTTTTCCAGTAGGTGGCAATGTTCAACCACAGATCTGTACTGATGAATGGCTCTGAAGCTGCGATGCAGCACTTAGCTCCAGTTGAACTACATGAGAAGGATGTGAGTTCTGTCATCGGGTTAGTGTTCCAACTGGCGCTGGTCTCTGGAAGTATAATGGCCATTTGGCAGACAGGCCTGATGCATGACGCTATCCATTCACACTAGGCCAGCAGAGACTGATGGAGGACTAGAAGGCGCACGGCAGCAGAGGAGAACGCAACGGTGGAGTGTCGTCAATGGCCGAATAAAAGGCTTCAATCTAACTTAATAAAAGCTCGAGCTTTCAGGAAATGTGCGTGTGTGAGAGGCTTCATAATGCTCTGAGAGTGTTTCGAAATCATACAATTCAATGTGTAGCGTGCAGAAGTGTGTTCAATACAACCCTCCCTGAATGTGGCCCCATTGACCCAAACAGTGTGCTGAGCGTTGCACAGACATCTTGGTGAGACTCTTGTTTTTTTTTTTTTTTTGATAATGCTTAAATTAAACTACCTTTTAATGCAGAATTTTAGTTTGCGTTCTTGCTTAAACTAAAATCCTGTAAAAGACTATTGGTACACAGATGATGTATTTTAAAAGGAACACCACCCAGGACCCCTCGCCACTGTTGTGTGGTGTTACACTTCCTTCTCCACACCCTTCGCTCCTCTGTCCCAGCCTTACCCCTGGTGAAGAGGACGGTCTGCAGCTTGAGGCTGCCTCCGTTTTGCAGCCGGGTGGGCAGCTCGCTGAAGTGACAGCTGTCCAGGTACAGAGTGACCCTCAGGGCCTGCCGGCTGCCCTCCACCTGGTAACACACCGGTGTGTCTGCAATACATAGACACAGACAGAGGAGAACGTTAACAAGACCGCACTGCTATCATTCTGGCTGTTCACTCAACACGTGAAAATGTGTTGAGTGAACAAACGGTGAGGGGCTATGAAGTCAGCGACCCTCAGATATTTAGTTATAGACTATGTAATAGTCTTTAGAGTGAACAAAAACACATATTCAGCATTAATAATAGAGCAGTGAAGTTTTACAGTATTAACGTCTACATTTGTAGAGTCCAGGTTTCCGATGCCAGTAAAGACAGCACAGACGTACTGCTGCATTACTGAGCGTCAGCAATCATTTCAAATTATTTGTATTTTTACCAAAGCAGGATTTCATAAAACTATCAACTAAATGAAATGTGCAAAACTCCCCGTGTCTCCAGCACGGCCTTACTTTGGCTTTGACACTGCCACAGAGTGCACGGTAATGGGGAAAAAAAAGACAAGTCCATTTAAATAGAACATGGGTAATTACCCCGTGTGTTAGTCATTTTGGGAAAATCTGCACGACACGTGCTGTTATGTCTGTTTTTAATGTTACAGCTTCTGGCAAACACACCGCTGGGATGAGATGCTGTTAAATGGACAGAGGTTGATCCCCGTCATAGAGGACACCGACACATGTACAATTTAGATGTATTTGTTTAATCTGTCTGCTCCCTTTCTAGTTCAAACCAATTCGTCATAACTGAATTACTTAAGCAGAGCAGTAACCTTTTCTAATTCTACAAACAATACATGACTAGTGATAATGCAGAACTTAGAAGTTTCTGACTGTGGCACATGAGCTGTTCTTAGAAAATGGAAAAGATGACCTTTACTGAGCGACCTCTAGGGTCAGCGCTCTTTGCAAGAGAACCCATCAAGCCGTAATCCTGTGGAATTGGCCGTGATGCCTCAGAGTCTGTGGTGCTCACACGATTGTGCCCCACCAATAGCTCCCGGCCTGCTGAAGATGCTATTAGCGAATCAATACTGTCCAATGGAGGCTGTCGCCACAAACCATCTGCCTGCACTGCAGCATTCTGAGCAGGAAACGCAACTTCAGCGAAGCCGTTTGGTTAGAAACGGGTTTCTTTTACGTCAAAGTGTAGGAGTTTGGGTCTGCACACTGTGTATGAATGACCAAGTCAGTATGTGTCAGTATTGGTTTGCATGTTCGTGCAAAAATATACGCATGCCATGTGCACACTAAATACTTTCTGCTGCAGAGCGTGATCCGAGAATAACAAATCCCCTGCTTCATCCACAGCCCTGCCTCCCAAAATGGGAAGTGCATGTTGTGCTTTTCCTTTGAGCGGCAAATCTCTGCCGGCCACATTGAGGCGACTGAAAGGAGGAACTGATTCAGGATGCGGCCGTCCTTTTGCATTTGCTGGCTTTAAGGCTGCTGGTGGCCGGTGAGCACCTTCAGTGAATACAGATACCGAGGTTATTAAAAGGCACAAATGTGCCCCGGTCACGTCGGGACACTCACAATGCCCACTGTGAACAACCTGCGTTGCATTCTCAGTTGAAGCTGCTGCAGTGCACTCTTCTATTCAAATGCTGACTCTGAAATAAATGCTCCGACCTTGAGCGGTTTGGCAGGACGGAAGCGATGCAAATCTGTTTCGCCCTTTTCATGCAGCGGAGTATTACACATGAGTTTACAGTAGTGTTTGTGTCTTTCTATCAGTGCCTCCATATGTGTCAGTATTTCATGCGTCTCAGAGCAGCACTCTAGTTTGAATGATTCCCTCTCAGAGCCTGTCAAGAAGGGGCCGTCTTATCTTTAACACAAGGGCAACGAGGACTCTTAAGAGACTGCATGCTGTGCCCTTGTTTGAGATGATTTATGGAGCCATTATGGTGTTGTTTTAGCTCCCTAGTCAGTCGCGTTCCACTGAAAAGAAAACGAAATCTGCAATGATAAAATGTCAATTTCGCCCTAAATGGCTTCCATACATTCCACACAATGGAACTTTATTCAGAGTTGGTCGAATCACACAGCTGCTCATTAGCAGCGGTGTGGTTTGAATGGGCAGAGTCAGTCTTTCTCGATGGAGTCTCTTACTTGCGACTAGACACTCATCCTCCAGTTGCCTGAAGAACACAGTGACTTTGTCCAAGTCCAACAGGGCTGCCTTGGTGTCCTCCAGCATGGTCCGCTCCTCTTTCTGCCGCGGGGAGAGAAAAAAAGAGAGCTCAGTCGCAGCGGGAAAAGAGTTGCGATAGTCAGAAGCCATGCAGTAGAGGACACCTGCATTACTAGAAACCCAAAAAGACACACGGATGCAAAAGTTGATGCAACAGGACAGCCACTACATCTTGATGTTGGCTTGAAACTGCGTCAGGTAAGACTTTTGCTTTTGTTTTTAAGTAATGCATCCAACTTATGAGAAGCTACATCACAAATCAGTTTCCCAAAGAAAACATCTGTGCTCACCAGGTGTGGCGCCAGCGTGGACTGGAAGTGCAGCAGCACGCCGATGACGGATATTTGCTCCAGCCACTTGCGGCTGGTCTCCTTGCCGTCCTCCTGGTACTCGCCGGCGTTGTTGAACCGCGACCGCAGCGCCGCCAACAGCTGCTCCGCCAGCGTGCACAGGGCGCCCGTCGCCGCCTGGCAGAAGATCACATCCCGTCGTAGCTGCAGAGACGTGTCTGTTGTGAACAAAGGGGGAGATTATGGGGAAGATCAGTGGGCAGAAGAGGGTTATAAGGCATCACAACCTCCCACGGTAACCTGCCTCGTTACACGTGTCCCGGAGTTGCTCCGCTGCAAATGCTTTATTCCATTAGCCTGGATCCCCTGAGAGGATACCTCCCACTAACTAGCACCACATGCCACTGCGCACAGTTCAAAGTGACTGGAGCATCATGCGTTCTGACACCAAGCTCTCATCCTTGTACAAACACACAAAACAATCTGGAAATGGAAATGTGCCCGATATGGAAAATAAAAACAGCGCTGAAAATTTGGAATAGACTGGAAACTAAATACATTTAAACATCTGCTTTATCTTCTGCAATGGAACAGATGTGATTAAATCAAAACAGACTTACATATGGCTATATTACTACGCTGTTCATTAGTAATACAAAAGTAGACGTGCATTGTTTCAGAACTAATGTCACAAACGAAACAAAGACAATATAAACATTAAGTCCCATGAAACTGTATTCTTGACATCATAAATAAATATTTCAGTTACAATTAAATAACCTTTGAAGATGTCTTAAGGACCTGCAGATGCCCTGATGTAGAACTGGCTGTATTCTCATATGATGGATGAGCTCATTTGCAAAGTGCTCTAAACTGTTGGAATCATTTAAAATACTCCAGTTATGAGACCTTTCCTGCTGCTTGAGCCTGAATTCTGCCGAGTGATTATCTAGTTCAATTAGTCACCGGTGCCTTGCTCCGACTGTGAACCGGTCTCTATCTATAACGCTGACATGTTACTCTACCTGTGCACTTCAGCAGAGCCAGGAGAAGCTGGTTCTTTCCATCTGTGGGGACAGAAGGAAAACAAGCTGACTTTGATTGTAACCGTACACGAATCACATCCACGTGTGCGCGTGCGGTCCGCTAACCGTCCACGAATCGCTGCAGGCTCTCCACCAGGGTTTTGATAGAGTTGGGCAGGTTCCAAGGGTCCTCCTGGATGTTCTTGTGGATGATGTAGCGACAGCGAACCGTCCAATCTTCCGTTTGTCGGAACTCTGTTCACAAAAAAATTAAATAAAATCCAGAAATTATCAACATGACAACACACCCTCTCACCTTTCTGGCAGTACACACACACACACACACACACACACACACACTCACACACACATATTTATGAATACGTACCTGGTTGGCTGTGGTCAGAGTAAAAGTGCTTGGTCTCCTCACAGGCCTTGGTCATGACTGCTCCTTTGAGTAGGCTGTTGATGGAGTCGACCTGTGTGCAGAAATTAAAGCACACAAAGAATATATTGTCAGGTGATCTTCGCCCCTCATGTTCTTTCTTCTTCCAGCTACTTTCTGTCTGTCTGTCACTCACTCACACACTCTCACTCACACACATATATATAAACACAACTCTGGCTTCTGGCGGAGTCTTCCAGCATTAACAACAACAGCGCTTGTGATTGTAGGGCTCCCTGAGCTGCTGCTTACATGTGCAAAGAACTGTGAGCAGTGAGAGTAGCCCACAGGGCAGCCAAGGGACATCAAATGCCAGCAAGAGGAGATGAAAAGACGGCGTGTTTGTGTGTGTGTGTGAGGAGAAAGTGAGAATAAAGGAAGGGAGAGAAAGAAAAGGAGGTCAAGTAAAAGATGAGAGAAAACCAGGAGCCTGAGCAGAGGACAGAGAGCTCCTCGAGGTAACTCAGCCCAGATGTCGACTGATTACTATCACAACCATCTTATCCAAATCGTTTGCCGGTGGTGGTGGGGGGGTGCTTAAATCTTTTGGCTGAGTTTAAAGTCAAGTCATCTCAGTTTGTCCTCACGTCTTCCAAAGTGTGAGTTTGGGAATAGATTGCCGCCACGTCCTGTTCGAATTAGATGGAAGTTTGGAAGTCACAAAATAAATGGATGGAGTACTCCAGGCTCAACCCCAGAACTAACCTGGTTGAAAAGGTGCTCGAGGCAGCCGTGCAGCTTGTCCTGCTTGTCCGAGGGAATCCTCATGTCACACGGCAGCTCATCCCCTAGCAGCGGGAAAATAAAACACCAAACAAAACAGTTGAGGAGAGATCACACACTTTTGGACGCCAGCGCTCATTTCTATTTGACCATCTGCACTTAGCAAACACGTTTCTATCCATCTGTTTTAATTTAAATTTAGATGAAAAAGATTGGAGGGGATGAAGGCCACTAAATCATTTCAATTGAATGCCTCATTGTGGACACAAAAAACGAGGTGATAAACAGCATTGGACACATACTTGGCTCACGGAGCAAAAATGTGGCTGCGGGGTTACGAAATGTTGTGTCTGAAACATCTGACCACGGTCACCGCCAACAAACATCTCCAGTATTTCTGTGTTTTGGCGCTCTGGAAGCGTGACATCAGATCAACATTATCACAAACTAAAGAGGAGTCGCACTTTTTTTTATGCAAACATCCATTACTTCTTGTCTTTGTTTGACACTCAGGAAGCATGCTTTTGCTTCGGCCTCGCTCATGTTGTTTACGTTAAATTCACTTTACACGCTCTTCTGTTTGGGGAGCAACACGTTTGTATTCTCGTGTCGGCTCTTTGCTTGACACTGGTTTCTGAAGCGATCGTTGTTTGACATGAAAGGTCAGATATTCTACATTTCCTTTACCTGATCCCATCTCGTCGCTCCCCAGGTACGAGCTGTTACTGCGCACACTGGTGTAGGACAGGACCGAGTCTCTGTTGCTGTTGCATTCGCTGTAATAAAGCACACACACACACACACACACACACGCACACACACACACACACACACAGTTTTAAAATGCATAATAAAGCAAAGGGTTCATTCCGTTCTCAAACCACAGAGGATTTGGAGAGCTGCGTCTTGTAATTATGCTGCCAAGTAATCCTTCTGATTGTAAATGCCTCTTTCTGATTTACAGTATGAAAGACCGAAAGGTAATTAAATGTTTCACGGAGCAACCGACCGCCACTGGTTTACACTCAGAGTCCCACACATTTCACAGATTAACAAATACATTCGACTTGAAAGCTGAAATGGAGCTCGCCTCTCTGCCCCGATACATTTACAAACACAAGCTCTCTGTAGCTTGGTGGGTTCCTTCGTGCCGGGACTTACAATCTGCCTGAGACAGTTTTGCAAAAAAAAACAAAAAAAAAACAGCATGGTCTGGTATTTATAGTCATGCATCTACATGATTCAACATGATTACCGGGAGCACGTGAAAGATTTATGTGGCTCAAATTATACGTCGCTCCAAGTCAACACGCTCGCGATAGCCTTTGGAGGAGCTCTGAATGACTGTCTTTCTTTTGCTGGTGGCCAGCTTAGAGGGATGTAGGGGGTGGATATCACCTGCTGGGTTATTCTGTGGTCCCTAATGTGTGTGTATATGAGTGTGAGTGTGGTGGTGTTGGGGGGGGGGGGCTTGGCTACATCAGAGCTGCTCCAATTATGGGGGAGAGATAATACAGCCGTCTTTTATTCACACACACTCAAACAAGCACACTGTGTTACACTCTAATGCTAATATGTGTGTATGCACTCGTAAATCCAAGTTGGTTTTTTTGTCTTTGTTCTCTTTCCCTCCACTCTGTCTAATCATACTCCAGGCCTCCCATTGCTTTTCTGTTTAGTCGTTGCCTAATATACACACAATTCCCCCACTCCCTATGTGTCCTGCATTACTCTCCTTCTGCACAAGCAGGTGTGTTTTCTGGCTGAAATCAGAGGCACACCCACACACACAGAAAGAGGTGTTGTCTAAATTTAATCACACGCCTCCTGCCAAAAGTGTGAGCACCACTGTGACAATTATCCTGCTTGTAGTAGCGGATCTGGCTTAAACCTAAACCAACCAACCAACCAACCAACCAACCA